GGGGTGGGTGGGCGTCCTGCCCTGCTCTCTGTAACACTGCAGCCTCCCCCTGCTCGAGACAGACCTGCCCATCTGTGCCGAGCTGGCAGTGCAGGTATTTGCCTTGATAAATAAATAAATACAATTTAAAAATGTGATCCTTGTTGTGGGGAGTGCAAATGCACGAGGGTGTGCCCAGGATGATGTAGTCTTTGGCTTATTCACTTCTCGTGCACAAGCTGACCCCTGGCTGTCTTGGTCAAAGCCTGGTGCCACCACGGCTGCGTGGAACTGGGCCGTACCTTGCGCAGGGATGTGCGCGCTCCTTCCTTCACTGAGGCGGGGCAGGCACGATCTCCCGGATCCACTTGTCAAACGTGGTGGCAGCAAGAGGCTGGCTTGGTGCTGTACGAAGTGCAAGGACTCTGTTGCTCTGAAGTGTTGCCTCGTTCCAGCAGCCACGTGCGGGTGTGAGATCTGGGATGGCTTGGGAGGAGCTGTCCTTGCAGGAGGGAGAGGCACAGCCACCATCACCTGTTAACGGCGCCAGGAGCCTCCTGCCGTGGTTGGTGGAGGTTGAGTAGCTGGTGCCAGGAGGAATGGTACTAAAGGCTGCTCAGCACAGGAGCATCCTCCTCCTCCTCCTCCCTCACCAAACCCCCATATTGTGTGAATGCTTCTCTGGAAAGCATGAATATTTCTTGCGATGGAGCAGTGTGTCTGTTGGGTCTTGTAGTCTCCCACGTTTCTCTTTGCAAGGCTCAAGCCTTACAGCGTATGGCAGATCCACCTCCAAAACGCATTTGTGGGTGTTGTCAGGTGTGAGGACAACACTCTGCACCTTCCACCTCACGTCCCTCTTGATCCACTCTCACCTCTTGCTTCTAAATGAGCATTTGTGATGAGTTTATGATGAGCAGAACTTTGCTCCTGACAGCGCACTTTCATAGTGGGAATGGTGCTATTAGGTCAACGGTTGGACTTGATGATCTCAAGAGGTCTATTCCGACCTAATGATTCTAGGATTCTGTAGAACTGGTGTTTGGGGAACACATTTCATGCTTTTTGCAGTGATTGGCATTCATCTTATCTCCTGTTGAATTTTGCTTTCTGTTAACATTTTCATGCCATGTGTATCTAACAATTGACAAATGACAGCTGTAATTACCCTGTTTATCAGTTATTGAGATCAATAGAGTGAACTTTAAATTATAACCTTTTAATGTGCTGATAAATAATCCTGGGCAAAGTCACTGCCTAAGGGTTTTTAAATGATGCAACTTTAGTGGCCACCTGGATTATCTATTAACATCTGCTGGAAACCATCAACATAAAAAGTGAGGTTGGTGTTACTTTTACCATGGTGTTAGGGCTGACTTTGTTCGTTGGATATATTTTTAAGAAGACCCTAAAAGCACCCAATACAGAAATTCCCTCAGGTGCCTTAGCTTGGATGGTACTTTCTGTACCACATAATAGGCAAACTGAACAGTTAACTGCTCTGCTGCGGTCTGCTGAGCAAACCATAGAGTAATAGAGAAATTCGGTTGAGTTGACTTTAGCTGAAAATACTTTGAATGTTTGGTTAACTTTTTCCTCTTAATTTCACTAAATTGAAAATAATCAGATTTGATCTTTGAATGGAACATTTGTTTGAAGTACCTCATTTTGTGTTTGAGTTTATTTTTGAAGCTTATTAAGTTCCAAATAAAACTTTACAATATTTTCAGAAGAGAAAAGTGAAGCCAGAGCCCTTAAAACTTCTTCTTTTTTTTAAAAAAAAAAAAAAATCTGAACCAACTTGCTGGTATCTGCACTAGTGAGCCACGTGCTGTGGTTGAGCTAAAACTTTTTTTGCGTAAAAATGGAAAGTGCTCTGTTTGCTCTCACAGCTTTGCTGGGGGTTGTCTGTGCTGAGGATGCACAATTTATGGCTTTTGACTCCTCTTTGGGGAAACTCAGAGATTTTGTTGAGCTGTGCTGTGGTTTTTTGATGCACTGGCTGGCAGGCAGTGAACTCGCTGTTAGCTGCAGCGCTGTGGAGGTGCAGAAGAAGGGCTGAAGGGTGGCTACACAGAGGTGCTCCTGAGTGTCCTCGCTGCAGCTGGGAGAAGAGCAGAGCTCCTGCCCCAGGAAAGCATTTGAGAGCTCTGCTGCTTTCTCGTTCTTCATCAGACGTTACCACATCCAGGTTTCCTGTGAGAAAGAAAGGCATCACTGGTTCCAGAACGATTGAAGGCTCCTCTCTGATGCTGATGCAGCTTGTGGTGCTGTTTGTGTCCCTGACAAAGGTCGAGATCCCCATTTAATCTGTGTGCACAGGCTTCCTCTCCAAATAAACCAGAGGGCTTGAGGTGGGAGACCACATGTGTGTGGACCTCTGTGTGCCCAGGAGCAGAGCCCTGGAAAAGGCACTGGGCTCCTGCATTCACCTTATTTCTGCTTGCTCAGGCATTGTCTCCTGGAGCCACAGTTCAGAGGAAAATCTTTCATCTTTATCTGGGTACTTTCCTTGCCTTAAAGCAAGGTCATGTCACCCGCTTGTATCTGGAAAAGTCTTGTGCTTTGTTTACCCAAAACAAACATGGAGAAAGGGAGTTGACGTGTAATCTGCAGCAAGCAGCCTCCCATGGACCTGGAAACCTGCAGGGTTTGAGAGCAAGGCACCTGGGGATCTGAGCTGCTTGGTTGTGTCTCTGCTGATTGCATCTTTATCTAAGGCTGCCTGTTGGAGTCCCTTGTAGACACACCTTTACTTCTTCACCTGAACGTTGCTTGGTAATCTGAATAGCCTAGTTTAGCACTGATCTTGAGGAACACCAGAAAATTTTGGGTTGAGTAACATTGCACAAGAGTTTCTTAGTTCTTAGTTTAGGTCCCTCCAGACCCAAAGAAATGCATGGCAGTGGAGAAAGAGTCTGTTTCTGGTGTTGGAGAGGAACCTTCTGCTTTACAAGCATCTCACCTGTAGCAGGGGCAGAAGGAGATGGCTTGTGTGGGTGAAGGACACCACTGAATTTGCTTTCTCATTGACAGAAGTGTCACGTTGGGATGTTCTTGCAGGAAATGCTTGAGAAGTGTTTGGGGTGAGAAGAACCCGGTAGGTTCAGGGTTCTTGAGTTTTATATCCAGCATGAGTGAACTTCAAGACTGTAACTCCATCAGAAGGTCACAAGCGCTGTTGAAAACCTGAAGGAATGGAGCTCACATGATTTTGAAATAGGAATCAGAGCTAAAGAGTGGAAAATGTGCCAGGCATCCACATCTGGCAATGCAGATCATGTCCATAGTCTGTTATTTTAACTGCCGCTTCTCAGGACATTTAGTCCTCATAAGCAGGATTGCGTAACTCGAGGTGGGGGGAAAGATCAGGTTTTGCCCTTTTAAAATCTTCATTCCTGTAGATTCAGATCGTGCCTTAAGGGTAGGAGAAGTGACGGGGATATCTTTTTACAAGCTGCTAGTGGGGGTGTCAGTGGGGATATTCATGACGCCTGGGCCAGCTGATTGCAGTGGTGCAGGATCAGTAGCTTGAGCTGCCCTGGGCCTGGCACCTGCATTTTGCATCCCCCCGGTGCATGTTTCAGCGGTAGCTTCATGCCCATCCTGTGCAGGTGGCCTGAACCTGAGCCCTGTCCCACCCCAGCAATGATGGCCTGTTGAAGCAGAAGTGGTCAATGAAAACCCTGGCTGTGAGTCAGAAGAGGGGTGTCTGTACCTGCATGGCAGGCATCTAGGGCTGCGGGAGGAGGTGGGGATGGGAGTGAGCTCGTGGGCATCAGTGCTTGTTCCAGAGATGGGCATTGCCAGCTCCGTGCCGGGCCAGCAGCATTGAGCTCACATCAGCTGCTCGTGGACGCGTCGGAGGAGGGTGAAAGGATCTAGAGGTGAACAGTTACTCATTGCCCTGCTTGTAGGGACTGCTTACTCATTTTTCTTCCAGCTCCTCGTAGTTATTGTTTGATACATGCCCTGATGCCAGAGGGTTTGTGGGTTTTAATTAGTAACTGTGGGCGGTTTGGTTATCCATGCAAATATCCAGTCGTCTTCTGAATCCTACTCAATTCTTACCCTCTGCATCCTGCAGCAATCATCTGCATAGGAAAATCTACACAATGCTATAACTAACAAGAAGTTTGTGTATTAAGTTGCTGCTCCACAGCAGCATTAAATAGAATATGTATTTTGTAGGCTATTCTGTTGCTTAAAAGTAAACATTTCTGGAAATGTGAAGATCTAGCTGAAACACTTTACAGCTAATATTTTCCTTTCCAGTTTGACTTCCAAATTACATTTGTCATGTTCCTCCAAAAGTCCCATCTGCCTAATGGAAAAAGCTTCATTTTGCTTTTCTGGAGCCCTTTCTCCAAAATCCGTTGTTTCAGCAATAATTGGGAAACAAGGTTTCAGAGTGAAGAGATACTGTCCCATTTTTAATCAAACTTTGAGTGTTTTATTTTGTAACCAGGTTGTTAGCTCTGCGGGGAAGCTCTTGTTCTTTTTATTTTTTACAGCACCTTGTGCCATGGGACTGACTCCACGTGTAGGATTAGAAAGCCTGTAAGCTCTGATAATACCAAGTAATTAGCAATATATCAGGAGCTGATTCTTGGAAGTGAAGTCAAAGTTTTTGGGTAGTGACTGGTAGCAAATTAATTGATGCTTGAGTGTCTGTGAATTCAAAGAGGAGGAAGCTGGAGGAAGCTTGTTTTTTCCACCCTTCCCAGACTCCAAACCGTGCAAGCTAGAAAAGGATAGGGCAGTTCCTGAAAATTACTGGAAATAGAATAAATTTCTAAAGATCTATTAAATGTGTGAACTGCAGCAGCAATAAGAAAGTGTTTAGACAATACTTTGACATTGGAAAATAAATTTTATAATGATGATATCTTAAAAATGTTTTTGTGCTTCCTTGTACTGTATTGGCCACATTTACACCCGTATTAGCACCAGCTGTGTATCTCTAAACTTTTGCTGCAGCTCTAAGAGTACCTCACTGATTTGTCTTTATCTTATTGCAGGTTGAGCTTCACGTCCACCTGGATGGAGCCATCCGACCAGAAACAATCTTGCATTTTGGCAGGTGAGTTGTGGGGGGAAGAAAGCGCTGGGAGCTGCAGTTCAAAAGCATCATCCCTTCTGCTTACCCACTTCTCCGACAGAAGAGCCTGCGCTGGCAGGCTGGGAAAGCTCTCTCCCTTGCTGCGCAGGCAGCAAACCCGGCTGGTTCTGGTCTCATCTCTGCACAGACGGGTCCTCTGGCTGCACGGTGCAAGAACACGGAGCACATGCCAAAGCGCTGGTAGCAGGAGTGTGAGCAGGGTGGTCATGGGTCCTGTGAGCCGGGCAAGCTAGGAGGAGCCACCGTGAGAAAAGTACAGAAGATGTCTCCTAAACAGAGCTGTCTGCCTTTGAAGTGCACCCGGGAAGGGGCAGAGTCAGTGTATTCTCATTTCTTTTCCACATTCCTAATTGCAAAAGCAGGTGAAATGAAAGCAGGCTTGGGAGTGTCTTCTTGGCGGTGGTGGCCTACCAGAGTCTTGGGAGGAAAAACCAGCTTGGGTGCTCCTCCCTACCCTGCTGCTGTGTGCCTCTGAACCCCAGGCTCTCTGCCTGGTACCAGCACTCAAGGAGTCGTGCTCGTGTGAGGGTAACCCAGGAAAGCACTTGGCAGTGACTTAGAGAAGTTGTTTCCCATTTCCAGAGCCCACGTGCATCTTCTTGCTTCAGCATAGCTTGTGTGGGAAGCACCAGGGTGAATGGTTGACTGGTGCAAGGACCTGGCTCCACGGCTGTAAGCAAGACAAACCTAAGAATTCTTCCACCTGTCCCTATTTAAAAAGCCAATGGAGACTAGCAGATACCCTCAGATCGAGAAAGTGGCAAGCTTAGAGATTTCAGAAAACAGCTCTTAGGCACAACTCTGCTGCTTTGGGGAGGAAAGGAATTCTGAGGAGGATGGGAAGTGGTTCTGGCATCCTGTGAGCCCAGCAGCCTCCAAGGCAATGTGATCCTAGAGGGGAATACTCTCTCTAAAGCAGCGCTTTTCTGCAGGGAGCGGCCATACATTTTGCAGTGCAGTGAGAGTAAAGAAGATCAGAGATGTCCATCTCATTCGTTGCAGGATGTCCGCATGGCGAGCTGAATCGGGGTTCCTGCTGGCTCTGCCCGTGCTGCTGGTGGGCTGCAGGGCTGGAATACAAGTCCTGAGGGACAGAGCAGTCAGTGTGTGGTCCCTCTGCCAGCGAAGGACAAATGCTAGTGTAGTTCCCCAGGAGGGCTGTAGGAGCCCTGAGGCCCAGGAGCCACCAGCCATCTGAGGATCCTGTGCCCCTCTCTTGCTTAGGACAGAAACCTTCATTGCTCGAGTGTTTGCTGAGTTCCCTCTTATTTTTAAACTGCCCTGGCATCCCCCGGGGCTGCCAGCCCTTGGGTGCCGCACTTGGCTGGGGTGGAGCAAGGCTGTGCTATTCATAGGCTCTAAAACTAGCACTCACACATATGTAAAAGCAACGAGGCAGTGTAGGAGACTGTAGGGGACTGCCTTAATAACCTCACCCTGGACACAGAAAGCTGCTTGTAGTCTATTTTTAAAGGTAAAGAGCTGGAAATAAATTTGCCAGGTGGTGGCTGACAAATAACCCGAAGCTGCTGGGATGCACAAACCCTCTTAGGCAGTGGCTGAACTTGGCTGTTTTTTAGAAACTTTGGCTCCAATTCTGTCAGGTCTGGGTCAGTCTTTGCATCCCCCCTGCCCAGCCGAAGGGTTTAGAGGTGTGACAGACCCCTCACAGGCCTCAGTGTCCCCAGGAGAGGTGCCCTCTCAGCAGTGGGACGATGTGTGTGGTGCTGCCCATGGCTGGAGGTAGCTCTGGGCAGGAGGCTGAGGTGCCGGCGGGCACGAGCACATTTGCCTGGGGCAGCTTTGCTGCAGGAAGGCTCCCAGCTACCAGATGGGCTGGATGGGGCAGCAGCAGCTCCTGAAAACACGCTGGCAAGATCCACCAGAGCCCCTCAGCCAGAGACCTGACTCCAGTGTCTGTGTGCTGCAGAGCATCCCAAAGCACTGTCGCCGCTGGCTGCACGGAGGCGATCCTTCGGGGAGCACATGAAAGAGGTCAGGGAAATGGCTTCGCTGTAGGGAACTTTCCCTGGGCAGGTGAGGAAGGCACGGGCCGGTTCCTGGAGCAGAGACCGGTGTGTGAGTGCTGTGGAAAGGGCAAGGCAGGGAGGAAAGCCGATGCCTTGGCAGTGATGAGCGTCCCCTGCCAAGTGCCAGCAATTTAATCTGTGCAGATTGCATGTGAAGGCTGAGTGTGGGGCTGGTTTCCTTCCTGCCTGAGCAGGGAATGAGCAATGTTTACAAAGCCCAGGAGCGGCGTCCTTTGGGCTCCTTCCCTGCAGGCTGCTCGTCAGGATGGTTGCTGGCATCAGGACACTAAAGCTGTCTGTGGTGTTTTGTCTCTATTAGCAGAGAGATCCATCAATGGGCTGTCATTCCTTGTGGCAGGAAAGGGGATTAAAAATTAATGTCTAGTTGTTATTCCTAATTTAGGTTGGCATGTGCAGGGTAACAGGGTGTGGGGTGGGGGTGGCAAAGCCTGCCTGGGAAGCATGTAGCATCCTTGGCCGGCACCCCTCTTGAGCCCGACTGTCACCCCACTGGGGACACCTACATCCATCCAGGACTCCAGGCGCTCCAGGGAAAAATGGCCTGTTCCCTCTTGAAAGTGTTTGGGTGGGCTTTACCATCTCCATCCCTTTGGTGAGAGCAGTTGTTAGGACTGCCATTTGCTCCTGCGTGGGAGGTGTCCCCATCAGAGAAGATATCACCACGATGTTGGGCTTGGGAGCCGGCTCGCTCGCAGGAGCTGCTGGCATTAAACCCACGAGCCACAACACTTCTGCATGCATGATCCCAGGCCTGGGAGCTTCTCCATGATTTTTCAAGCCTTTGAGCCTACGTAAGTGGAAATTAACTTTTCTAAAGAATTTTGGCAATTCTGCTGCTAGGACTAGGAGGTGCCAAGAAATAATCCAAAGCCCCTTTAGATGAACTCCTTAAGCTTAAAATGTCCTCTGGCTGTGTTCCTGCTGGGTCAGTCTGGGCTTGTATTTCGATTTGTTTGTGCTTTGCCTGTATTTTGTATAGCCTTCCTCCCCACTGAGATTCAGGGCCACATCTGCGAGAAGATTTTGGAAGGACAACATGTGCCTTGTCTTTCCTATGAAGAAATGGGGTTAATGCTGCCAGCGTGAGATGCGATTGCTGTATGGAGTGGACTGATTAAAAATACGATAGCCTTCCCTGTCAGTTACACGTGGCTTTGTTTCCAGGAAAAGAGGGGTTCCTCTTCCTGGCAGCACTGTTGATGACCTCCTGAAGCATGTCAGCTACAAAACACCACTGACACTTACCCAATTTCTAGAGAAGTTTAATCACTACATGCCTGCCATTGCGTAAGTACCTCTATTTTTTGCTTCTTCCCCCTCAACCCTTGACAGGACCCCTTGGCTGATGTTGCTCGGCCTTGGAGGTCACCTTGCCCATCCCCAGTGTGCCCCAAAGGGTGACGAGTCCCGGTGATGGGTCCCACTGCCATCCCTGCAGGGGCGACCGTGAGGCGGTGAGGAGGATTGCCTATGAGCTCGTGGAAACAAAAGCAAAAGAAGGTGTCATCTACGTGGAGGTCCGGTACAGCCCGCACCTCCTGGCCAACTGCCGCGTGGATCCCATCCCCTGGGGCCAAACTGAGTGAGTGATCCCACCGTGCTGGGGAGCTGCTGGGTGACCGGTTGGGCATGGAGAAGGCGTGGCCCACACCGGTCAGCCAGCCTGGGTTCAAAGTCTGGTGTAACCAAACCTTCTCTCTCCTCCAACGCAGCGAGCGCCGGTCCTCTTCCACCTCTCTTCCCCATCGATGATAGGATTTTTCCTCTTATAATATCTCTGTGCACTGCCATGTTTTAATGTCCCTTGCTTTGGGCACCTAAATCTGCACGTGCAGAGCGGATATGCTCAGCCTTCTGGCTGAAGCTGTTCTCTATGCAAGGGAAAGCAGCGTTCAGATACGGATTTCCCGCCCACAAAATGTGAATTTGAGCTGGCAGAGATGGTGGGCAATGTTGGAGGGGGCTGGAGATCTGGTCCCTTCTTTACTTGTCACCCCCTCTGTCATCTGTGCCTCTAATTAAATCGGTGCTGGGCTCTGTGGCCCCTGGCAAAAATGTGCTGTGATGGGTGTTGAGCCCCCGTGCTTGCCCCTGCCTGGCTGCAGGCAGTTGTGTGCCCTGATGAGATGCTCTGGCAAAGAGTGGGTTCCTCTGCTCAGGCAGGATTGGCATCCAGTTCCCTAAAGCTTTTCTAAATCTTACTGTCATCTTTGCATGCTTTTGTGCCTGACACCTGCTAGATCTGGGCATGGCACGGGTGTAAAAGGTGCTCTTCAGCTCTGGGCGGTCTCGTCGGGCTCCTCTGGATGTTAAGGCGAGTGGGACCCTGGTCAGCCTGGGGTTTGCCTGGGGTGTCCTGTGGGGATGCTGGGCTGGACCTGCGGCTCCTGCCTGCCTCCCTGGCAGGTGTCTGGCCTCTTGCTGATGACTTTTCTTCCTTGCAGGGGAGACCTCACTCCAGATGAAGTCGTTAACCTCGTAAATCAGGGACTGCAGGATGGAGAAAGGGATTTCCGCATCAAAGCCAGGTCTATTCTATGCTGCATGCGCCATATGCCAAGTAATGTATTGCAGCTCCCCTGCTGCTCTGCTCCCCTTCCCTGACGCGTGGCGGGGGGTGACGTCCCCTGGGTTCAGGTCCCCGCAGAAGTGCAGGGAAGGCCCCAGTTCTGTGGCCCTGGGTCCGGTGTGGGACCAGACAGTGCTGAGGAGGTGTATTGGTTTTTTTTCTTGGTCCTCTGCTCCCTTCACTATGGGGAAGGGTCTGCTGGATGCCAGAGTGGGGGTCTGTGGGTACAACCAGTATCTGCAGGGTCTTGCTAGAGAGACAAAACAGGCTTGTCTCTCCTCTCCTGGAGGAGGTGCAATTTCTGCTCGTACCTCGCTCCCTGCCCAAAGGCTGGAGCTCTCCTTGGCCAGTTGAAGCTGTTGCATCTGCCATGACCGTTGGGTGGGTCTGAGAGCGACTGGTCAGGGAGGAGAACCGGGTGTGAGATCTCACACTCCCCTGCTTGTGGTCATGCTACAGCAGCATGCTCCTTCATTAGCCTGGACCACGGGTCAGCCAGAGGATCTGCTGGCTGTAGTCTCTGCTGGTTTCACCTGAAAGCACAAGTAAAATATACGTAAGTCACATATATAAAATGTTTTTTTTATAAAATCAGCAGCTTTGAACTTCATCAGTAACAGGTGCTGTGACCCAGAATAGGATCAACCAAACAGTCACTGCTCTGCAACCCAGAATTTCCAGTGTTTCATGGGGCTGCTGAGTTCTGTGAGCACCTTCCTCTAGGGAAAACAGTCAGAGCGAGGTTGTATGGCAGCAGCTGTTCCGTGTGAAGCCTTTGTTATGAATATCTTCATATCTCACAACAGTTTTATGTAAGCTTAGTAGGGTACATGGTGGAAAGATTTTTTGCTAATGCGTACACGGTTAATTTGTGTCTAGAAATGTGAAAAATTATGTTCTTCAAAACTGGGAGATTTGAGAGTGTGTTTTTTCTTGCCTACACAATCAACCCCAAACAATACTTGGAAAACTTTACCCTTAAATTACCAGTTTCTAGGAAGAAAACTTTTTTCTTTGTAGAAACTGGAAAGCTGTAAGGCAGTGCCACACTTGTCTGCAGTTACGGTCCCTGCCAACACTCAAGTGGTAAAGGCAGAAGGTGGTGAGAGCACCCGAGGGCACCTGCAGCACGTGCTTACACAGCAGGAGGGATTGCTGGTGCAAACTGAGTTGGCATTCTCATGCCTGTGTCCCAGGGCATCAGCTCTTACCCAGAGCCAGTGATGCACTCGATTCAAGAGTCTTTAGTGCTGTGTTTGGGATGTGCTGTGCAGTGAGAAGCCACCCTGTAATTTAGGACCTGTTGAAAGGCAGAGATGCCAGCCAGAACTAGCTCACGTTAAACTTGTTAATAAAATAATGGCTCTAACTCAGTGAGTTGGAAAGTGATGAAAAAAGAAGGTGAAATTGTATACGTTTTCTTATGTGTTTGTATGATTTTGGAATTGTATGTACACAGCAGGTGCCTGTTAATTATTAACACTACCGTTTATCTCTGTTTCTTGACCTTTTTGCTAAGAATAAGTGCTAAACGACCTGGTAGGTGGATGTCCTTTCTCAGATGTTATCTTCTATCCTGATCAGAGATAGCTCTGAAGGGGTTGTTGGCCACTTGTTGCTCTTTCTCACTGATGCCAAAAAGATAACGCTTTGCAAGTGCAAACCTTCCAGGAGGCTGAGCAGATCCGTCCCACCAGGAGTAGCATCCATCATCTCGTCTGGGGCAGTCGATGCTCTGTGACAGGGCAGGGCTGACTGGCATACAAGGGCCCCCCAGAGATCCCCCCCAGCCCAAACTCCTCTGTGACACAGCACGTCCAACAGGCTAGTTCCTCCCTTTTCCCGCTGCTTGCCCGGCCTGGGATGGGGTGAAAGCTCAGGAGCAGGTTGAGGGATTTCTCCCATGCACCGTGTTACAGCACCTGGGCTGAGCAGTTCAGCTTACCTTGGGCCAGCTGCAGCAGTCGCCACTGTGTTTGGAGGGGTTTTTTGTTTTTTTTTCCCCTGCCAAAAGTGAGCAGAAAAACGTGATGAGAGCAGTTTTATAGCTGCTAAATGCATTTGATTTCCCTTTGATTGACGATGGGCTAATCAGTTGGCAGCTAGGAATTTGTTAGCTTTCTTCTTGAGCGTCAAATTTTAAGCAAGACCAAAGAAAATCGCTCTAGCCTTCTAGATTTGGTTAGAAAAGTGCTGAAGGTGTAACTCTTACCAATGCTTTCTCCTGAACCCTGGCGCTGTCTTTTCCAGGCTGGTCTCCAGAGGTGGTGGAGCTCTGCAAGAAGTATCGAAACAACTCTGTGGTGGCCATCGACCTGGCTGGGGATGAGTCCCTGAAGGTGGAGAATTCCTCTGAGCATAAGAAGGCTTATGAGGTTTGTTTAATAAGCTTCTTGAAAGAAATTATAAGAAAAACATATATTGAGGGAACGTGCAAGAGGGGACGTGGTATGTTATTCAGACCGCAAACAGCTGGGACAGCTTAAAAATTTGTTGCAGCTATTAAAAATGTTCTGTTAAATAGCAAAAGTATTTGTTTATGTTTCCAAAATGATTAATGGCAGGCATCATTGCTTAAACATGGCCTTAGAGCTGGAGCTCGGCACGCTACCCCATAGCACTGAGTGCAGTGTGAGTGATGTGGAGCCCATGTGTCCCCAGCAGCACCTCGCTGCTGCTGGCTGGGGTCTGCTCCTGGGGCTTGGCGAAACCACTGCCGAGGGTGGAAGAGACTGGCCTTTCCAGTCCGGCAGAAATCCCCCAAGGCGCAGAGAAGAAGCTGCACGTTTGAAGTGCTTTTATCTGATCATCTCCAATGCAAATGCTGGAATGGCTTCAGGATCCTCATCTGAGACCCTCCCTAGATCTCAGCGCTTTGCAGCTGCTCAAAGGGAAAGCTTCACGCCTGGCTCCTCTTTGCTGGTGGGAGTTCGGGGTTGTTGGTCCCCTGCACCTGTGGGAGAGGAGGTTGTGCACCATCACTGCCAAAAAGGATGGTGGTTTGCAAGCAGTGCTCAGGGCTGAAACGACATGGGGCTTTCTTGGGGTCTTTGCCCCCCTCTGCGGGAGCCGATACAAGGTCTGACTGTGCTGCTGTGCCACACTGGACGAACCAAGTGCTTGTAAACTGAGACGTGGGCACAGGGTTTTATTAACTGACGGGCTGGCGCATCCCGTCCTGCCCTGATGTGCCAGCAGTGCCCAGGTCCAGATTCCTGTGTCTGAAGGATGCGTCTTGTCTCTGTGCCAGGGGCTCTGAGATGCTGAAACAAACCCACTCCTGTCTGTCAGCCCCTCTTGGCCTGCGTGGCAGGGAAGTATATCCCATACATGCTGCTGCTATGCTCCATGGGGTACATAATGCATCCAAGGAGACTGGAGAGACTTGCAATGTCCCTCGAGCAGGCACGTTCTGCCTGGGAGCTCTTGGGGCTGCTGGAGGGGAAAGAGCAGATAATGGCAAAAACTCGACTGTGGCTGCTGGCTGCAAAGGGGCACCAGGAAGCGTAGAGCCAAGGATCCCAGGACCGCCTTGTCCGAGGAAGCGGGGATCCTTGGGGGAGAAGCCAAGGGAAGCATCATGTGTCCTGGGACAAATGGGTTGAAAAAGGGATTAAAGCACTCCAGGGAAGATGTGCCCATGGATGGATGCTAGACAAAAGCTAACTTCTGAACAGAGGAGCTTGGGCTTCAGCAGCCAGGAGGGTTAGTGGGGAAGGGTCCCGGTGCATGTGCTCTTCCTGACCCCTCTGCTTGTATCCCCAGCTCCAGTTGGGTTAGTTAGAGATTCCTGTCTTGGGAGGGGCGGGGGCAAGAGTTTCTGGTTTCTCTTCATCCTGTGTAGAAACAAGTGGAAAATCTCTGTGCTGGTGTGAGTCTCTCTTTTCCTGGTCTGGTACTTCAGCCAGAGGGATTTTGTTATTTTAAAAAGTGTCAAAAATTAGCTGTTTGGGAAAAATCAACACTCACTTAAATGCAGGGAGCACAGAGTGCCTTTCAGGTTGACGCACACAGGGCTCTTCTGTAGATGTCCCAGGCAGATCCTGGCCTGACCTTTGCATCTGGGCATGCAGAACATGAGGGGCTGAAAATTAAGTAACTTGAGAAAAAAATCATGAGTGAAAAGCCCTGAAGGACTGCGCAGGAAAAGCATCTGCTGCAAGATGGGGCTTGCAGCCTGCCTGCCGCCAGCAGCTGGGTGGCCCTTCTCCAGCAAGCCAGGAGCCAGGCTTTCCTCAAGACTGCATGGCTTCCCAAAGCCCAGGTGGTCTGTGTCTGCCCTGGCAAGGGATTTTTCAGGATGACCATGGAAAGCATCTCAAAATGCCCTCAAAGCTGCACCCTCAGGGTCCTCCCAGCTGAGCTGCCTCAGTCCCCAGCCCCTTACAGGGGGGGTGTGCTCAGTGTCCGAGTGTTGCTTCATCTCTGCCCTCAGGGCTTTTGAATTCTCCCATGTGGCTGTAGCTGGCCAAAAAAGTGGACGTTTCTGCAAGGTTCATGCAGAAGAGCAAGTGGGTGGAGGAGGGAGAGCTTCGAGCTTGCTGCTGTCTGGAGAGGAGACGGCAGTGAGCTCAGCCAGTATTAAAAGACCCTGAGGAGTCTGGCTGGGCTCCAGGGGAAGGCAACCAGCTTTCTAAGTTTCTCTGCTGGCATTACTGAGCTCTTCTCTTGCAGCCTGTGCTACAGAGAAGCATGCAACTTGGGGTGCAGGCCATGTGGTTTGGGGGCTTTTCACGCCGAGCCCTGTTGCTTGCTGTGCCCCCGAGAGCGGTGCCAGCCCAGGGGTTCGCTGACCTAGCTGCAGGCGGTGGGCCAGGAACGTGTCCTCCCTTGCTTTGCAGGAAGCTGAAAGATGCGGGATTCATCGCACTGTCCATGCCGGGGAGGCCGGCCCGCCTGCCATGATCAAGGAGGTACGAGGATCTCCTGGGTTGGGACAGGGAGCGGGAGGGACTGGGGCATCCTGGGGCAGAGAGAGGGGCAGGGGTGGGAAGTGGTCCTGCATCCCCTGTGCCAGGGATAGAGGAGCCCAAGTCCTCTCTGTATTCACAGCAGAGCAAACATTGGGGACCCAGGCAGAGATCTGGCCCTGACGGCTCAGAAGGACCTCCCTGGAGCTGGCTGTACCTGTGCTGGGGCAGGGATCTCTGGGCAGGCAGAAGCCGAGCTGCTGCTCGGAGGCTGTACGTGGTTATCCCATGCTCTCTAGGCAGTTTATCTCCTGAAGGCTGAGCGCATTGGCCATGGCTACCATGTCCTGGAGGACCCCGAGCTCTACAAGGAGCTGTTGAGAGCGAAGATGCATTTTGAGGTAAGGATGTGTGGTGGGAGGGTGACAGCCAGGGAGCTGCTGTCCGAGTGGGAAATCAGCCCTCGCTTGGGCTGTGCTACAGGCAGGGACGTGACCTGGCACCTGAGTGCTGACCATGTGTGTGGTGACACTGCCGTTGAACCCAAATGCCCAAACTTCCACAGCAAAAATGATGGGGAGATCTGGCTGTTTGCTGAGATCTTTGCTGCGAGGAGCACCGGTGCATACAGCAGCTTGCAGGAGGCGTGTAGCAGAGAGAAATGGATCCTGATCTGGCTGAGAATAAATTTTGGAGGGCTTATTCACTAATCTATATACCTCAAGCTTGCAGGCTCCTCCTCCCACAAATCAGACTGCGGTACTGGAGCCTGTTTGGGTGGAGGTGCCTGGGAGTTACTGTGCATGGGCAGATTTCCTTGGCTTTTCCCCAGAGTGGGTGTATGCAACTAATATACGGAATATATACGTATATACTTAATGCCAGTGGTTTCTTAGCTGTGGTCAACACACAGCTGGTGACTGACAGGCCTTGGGAAACATCCCACTGGCTCCTGCCGCTGCCACACATGCTGTAGGCTCTTTGCATCTGTGTCCTGGGATGTGCACTGGTCCATCGGAGTAGCACCGAGGGGGTAGCTGTGAATAAAGCTCTAAACCTGTATCTGGCTTTACCAGCGTGCTTAGCTATCTGTGTGCACAGCTGGGGTTCAGATCTGCGTAGCTGATTCTGGTTTTCATGTTTAACTACCCCAAACAGGTCTGCCCTTGGTCCAGTTATCTCACTGGAGCATGTCTTCCGGACTTTGGGAAACACCCAGTAGCACAGTAAGACTTCTCAATTACGTGCATTCTTAAATAATTAGGATTTGGGTTGGTTATAGCTGCTTTGTTGCTTTACAAGGGTAACGCACATCTAACTGCTTAGGACAATGTGGTACATCCTCACTCCTCAGCACAGATGGGCCTGGTGCAGCTGGAGGGGGTGCTGGGGTCCCTTGGGGAGGCTATCCTGTCCCTCCTGCCCCTGCTCTGAGCTGTGGGGTGCGAGATGCTGCACGCCGGCCATTAGCCCCTGTCTGTGGCTGAGAGCTGAGGTTGCTGAACCTCTAAGCAAGCGGCACCGCGATGCTCTGCTCCTCTCCCCACTGGAAAAGCAGATCGGTGCAGAGAGGTGGTGAGGCAAGCCAAGCCCTGTGTCTGTGTCCAGTAATGCGAGCTGCAGGGGCAGCTGCAAGGTCTTTGCTTTCACTGCCTTTTACCCTGAGAAGTGCATGACCAGTGCTGTTTTACCCACTGGTCCAACCCGATTTCCTTACAGATTTAGGAAGGATCGAGCTAACTATTCCATAAACACGGATGACCCCCTCATCTTTAACTCCAACATTGACAAGGATTACAGCATAGTGAAGGACTACATGGGCTTCACTGAAGAGGAATTCAAGAGAGTGGTGAGTCGGCCTCAGCTGGATGCTCTGCTGACGTCCCGCGTGCAGCCCAGAACAACCCGCTGTTTTTCTTTATAAGCTGAAGAGTTGTCAATGGAAATAAAAAAAAAATCCTCTGCTGGCCTTGTAAGCACAAAGCTGAGGGTGGCTGCTGAGCTGGCTGGAGGGGGGTGGTGGGAGCGCTGCAGGGTGCGGGGGGATGTGGGTGCAGGGTGGGCTCGGCAGGGGCTGCCTCGCTGGGGCTGACTGCTTTGGGCTTCATACGGAGCAGGTCAGAGTGGAAGTTGTCCGCTGATATCCTCACAGCAGGGCTTGGCAGTAAGGAAGGATTACTGTAGTAAGTAAGGAAGGTACCTGTTGCTTTTTCTTTTTCTGGATTTGGAATTGCAGGTAGGTTATTTCAAGGCCTGGCCCAGAAATTAGCAAGATTCCGCAGGTATGAAAGTGCTTGCAGTTTATGCATGTATAACATGAGTATGCAACTAAGCTGGAAACAAAGTGACAGCTGGCTTCGGTTTTGTCACACACAGTCATTTATGTATCTTGATTACATCCTTGATTTTCTAATTACTGACCCAAGACAGAAAGACAGGATAACTGTTGGGAGTTTGACTTACCTGTTTACCAAGCGAACCTTTCCTGGTTTGCATTTAGGGTCACACTCAGCACTTTCAACTACATGTCTCCCAAGATACTGGCTTGGATTGGGAAGTGCAGGATGCACTTCACAAGAGAGTGTCAGTCCTGCTCTCAGCTGTGGCTGGAAGAATGAGTCCCTTTCTCCTACAGACATCACTCTGGGTCTGGAAGGGAGGCGTAAGGACAGCTCTCAGCTCTGGGATCCTGAATCCACAGCTGTTCTGCTGCCAGCTCTCCTCTCCTGCTCTTGCAAAGGCCAGGTTGTTCCTGTGTAACGAAAGAAAGGTCCCTGCACAAGATGGACGAGCAGACCTGTGTCCCAGCAGCAGCGCATCAGGCTGCCGGGAGAGACTGTTGTCCAAAGGGGAGCTGGGAGTGTAGGAAAAGGTCTAAAGTTCACATCCTAAAACTCCCAAGTCTTTGAAGACCTTTGCTTTGTGCCTGCCATGTTCCTCTTGGGACTTGCACTAGTGAGTTGCCCTGTAAAGCGAGGCTGTGGAAATGAATCTCGGCGTGGAAACTTTACACTGCTGCTCAGAGCCAGGTGTTGGGAGGTGCACAACCACATGTTCAGGTCTGATGTGTCTTAATGTTTCCCTTGTGTTCCCCTCTGTCTCCCCAGAACATCAATGCAGCTCAGTCCAGCTTCTTACCTGAGAAGGAAAAGCAGGAGCTGCTCGACACACTGTATGAAGCCTATGGGATGGTCCCCAACGCATCGTGACCCATCCCTGCAAGCCAGCATGGAGTGGTGGCCCTTCTTCATGCGTGCTTGACTCTCTGTGCTAGTGGGAGCGCCAGAGTCAGTCTTTATTACTGGCAGCCCTCTGTTAACCCTCACAATGCTAAGCAGAATCAGGCTATCACATACGCCTACCTATGACCCCCACAAACTCTGTCCCAAGTGGATGTCCAGCTTCCTATCTTGCTGTTGTGCAAGAAGACTGAAACTGCCTCCTGGCCTGACTCCCTTTTCCATCTGCCAGTCTTTCTGTACTTTCTGTACTGCAAATGAGAACAGAAGACCCTCCCCTGCTTACCTTTTTTTTTCTCCCTCCCTCTTCCCCTGCTTTATCTGTCCTGCCTCACTGACCTGCCTAGCCCTTGTCTGCAGTGCAGAAATAACCACCTTTAACTGTGACTGTGCCTGTTTTTCTAGGAAAAAAGTGTGTTAGTGCTGACAGAGGCTGAGCAGGCACTTTGGAAACAGAGGCTTTATTCCCGTCCGTGTGGGCAGGAGGGTTTGGCCACAGCTATATTTACCCAGGGTTAGTCTTGTACTAACAAGACTGGAACAAGAACAAGCTGGAAGCTGGTGCTCTTGCCCGTGCACAGATCTGAGGGGCACGTAAAAAAAAAAATGATCATTTTTTGGGCAGACTTTCTTGGACAAGGACTCCTGTGTATCAGCTCCCCAGTGTCACTGCCGCAGAAGCGCACACCTTGGGCTCAGGCTCCAGCTGTGCTCACAGCTGGCCATGACCACGCTTACACATGCATAGGACGTTGGAACGTATTTTTACCATTTTGGGCCGAAATCTGCCTTCTGGGACTTTTCCTGGTTTTGTACTCATCCTGGAGAATTCCTGTGAACTGCAGTTTGCTCTTCCTCTACCTTTGTTCAGGACTTGGAAAAACCATGATCGATTGCCTGTTTTACCGTTTCGCCCTCTTCCTGACCTGACGTAATCTTTAGGCACCGTTAAAACTAGGTAAATTAATAAGCTAGAGCCCAATGTCACATATTGACTCAGGTCCCATCTGAATTGCTTCTCTTGCTCAACAACTCTGGCTAGAATTCAGATCTTCAGTTTGATGGAAAATTTATACGGCAATATTCACCAAAATTCCTAAGCGATTTTGGTGCATTATAGTATTTTTACTTACTATGCAATAGAGCTGTGCATCCAGAGGAGAAACCATCATTTTCTTACATGAGTGTGTGGTGTGCTTTAGCATCCCCGGTGTCTGCCAAGATGCTTACTCCAAAGATACTGTACCAAAAAGTTGCCTTTGACAAGGGACCGTGGTCACCATTACCACGGTCAGTGTGTGAGACTGGTCCGGTCTCAGCCAGCAGCCACCGCATGCTGGGAGTATTTCCATTCTTTCTGGGCTTCCATATTTGTCTACTGAGTAAAATACTCATCTCTGAAGTACGTGGTGCATATATACACACACATATATATAGCTAGATAGGTGGATATGAGAGAGTGAATTTCTTACTTTTATAAGCAAATTATAAAGTGTCACTTTTAAAAACATGATTGTGGTAAGAACCAGGCTTTTTTTTTTTAGTAATTTTTCTCCAAAACTTATTTCTGAAGAAGAGTTGCTTGTTTGGATTCTGGATAGTTGATTGTTGATCCTGTTTAATAAAATAACAAGTTTATATTAAAAGATAAATCCTCTTGCCTTTCTGTTCAAGGGCAACTGTTAGGAACCGTGGTCCGTAACGTGAGCCATCGTACTCCTGCTAGAGCATGAGGGTTAATCGGTAGGTGTGATGGGGGCTTTGGCAGCTCAGTTCCTGCCTTCTCCTCTTGCCAGGTCAGAGCACTTTGACAGCCAGAGGGAAGGTACCCCTGCTCCCTTGCTAGATGGGCAAGTTGGATTTACAGGTGCAGGTTGTTCCAACTTCATGTGTCCTTTTCCCTTCGGTAATCCAAGGGACACATATCACTGCTAGAAGCAGCAGCACCATCCCTGTGTACTCTCACTTTTTCTGGTGTGTATCAAAAACGGTGTACCGTTTCTTTTTCCCTGTCTCTTGAGTTTTGCACAGTTGGGTGACACTAAGAGCCAGAAGTGGTGCAGCCTGGGCTGCCTGGCTGTTGGACTGCACTGTCAGCTTGGGCAGAGGAGTGTTTGCTGAAAGACTTTCCGATCATTTAGCGCTCAATTAGAGTTTCGGGAGGTCCAGCGTGCCCCTCTGTCCAGCTGAAATGAAGGGCTCGGAGCATCTGTGTGCTCAGCAGCTTTGCAAGTCAGGATGTGGCTGGATTAAGCCAGTGCCCTTGATCTTTCAGCACAATCGGCGACGGCAGCTGAGCTGGCTCTTTCGCTTGCAGGGGGAACCTGATGCCTCTTGCCTGTCCACTGAGGGTAGCTGGCCAGCAGGTCCCTAATCATCTGCCTAAATATAATTCTGGAACAGATATTTTCTGACCAGGGAGACCTAAGATTAGCCCGCCTTTGACTGGTGGGAGTCTTGCATGGTGGACAGTCCCTCTGCACTGCCTTTCAGCTTTCTCTGTGTGTGTCAGCATGAGCCAAAAATACTGTTCAGTGGCAGTGAGGAGAGCTGGAAATGGGGCTTGAAGACCCAACTGTGCGGTCAGCCAAGCCCAGGAGCTACCTGCTGTTTTGTCCCCAGGCACGGGGAAACGGGAGCAGGCTCTTGGCCGCCGGCCGGCACAGAGCTGCAATAGTATCCAGGCAGCTCCGGGAGCCGAGCTGGTTCGCAGCTGCCAAAGGAGCAGATGCAGCCGCTACCTGGTTGCCAAATCCTTGTTTCCTGTGGGGGCTGGAGCCATGGGCGTCTCTGTGCTAGCCCCGCGGCCATTGCTTCTCGGAGGCCCACAGACAATTCTCCCTCTGTCTGGCAGCCACTTCTCTGCTTATTTATGGCCTTGTTTTCTCTGATAAGTCTCAAACTCGTAACGTTCAGTTCTTCCCTAGGCTGTCAGGGTGATGCTTGTCCTCGTGTCACCAGTGGAGAGTATTTCTGAGGCCAGCTCTGCCTTGTCCCTGCACCGGCCATCAATCCCAGTGGGGCTGTAGGTGCCTCCCGCAGCTCTGGTGGGATCGGCTCTGCCTGGGCTGGGTGAAACACCAGCCATGTCCCCATGTCCTCATAGCTCTGTGCTGCAGAGGGAAAGATGCCTCTTCCCACCGGCACCTCTCCTGCTGGTGTCTGGGCCACTCTGCCAAGTCCCAAGCCAGTCTTGTGCTTGACTTCTGGGGTAGTAATGTGGAGGGGAGTGGTGCTCCCATGGGGGGGTGAAACACCCGTGCTAAAAGTGCTCCTGGCAGCAACCCTGGGAAAGTGGGGGGCAGACTTTTAGCATTTTCTGTGCCCAACTACATCTGCTTCCACCTGGGTGCTGCAAACCTGTGGGGTTTCACAGACCCAAACAGAAGGGACTCTCTTGTAACACAGCTCCTTATCTCCCCGTTAGGGGAAGCTGGGGTAACCACCCTGCAGATCAACTAGCTACAAGGCAAAAGACAGCAAGAAGAAACATTCAGGCAGAAAAAAACACCTTCAGTACTTGAAGGCTGTGTTATTTATTCCAACAGTTTATATAGTTTTATCAAACCATCTGTAACACAAAACATGTCTCCTAAGAGAGAGAATGGTGTGAGATCCTACCAGAGATCATCTCAGCTAACAGCTTGCAAAGTTAAGCCTGAATTTCAACAGTCAAACCAGCAAAATGTTTTTCCCCTCCCCTAAACAATACCTTAAAATGCTAAAACCGAAAGAAAAAGATGCCTGTGGCTGGTGCTGCTGGGGCTGTAGGTGGAGCTCAGCCACACAGAGCTGTGCTTTGGTCCTTTCCTGATGCTAAGTGGCAGCAGCACGTGGGTGGTGCTTGACATGAAGGCAGTGGGACTGGCTGCGTCCCTTCCCCACTGCCCACCCTGATGAGGGGCCACTTGGGCAGTCCAGAGGCCAGGTCAGGTCTAAGATGCAGATGAGGGTGAGGCTTAGAAAAAAACCAATAATCTAAATTTCTAATCTATGCAAACAGAATAAATAATAGTCTAAATTTGCAAAGGAGGAAGGTACCTTGGACAGGAAAGTCTGATGTGTCTATTATTACTGAAATAATTTTTTCCCCTAGGGGAAAATTGCAGCTAAGGCATCTTGAGAATGGCTCATATCACTACAACCACGTCAGTGTTGCTCTAAATCGTTAGGGATGAGAGCAGAAGTCTTCTGGAGGTGCCAGTCCTTGCACAGCATCTTGTGGCTTTCTAAACAAAAATAGTTGCAGCAGAGGCATTTGACAGACAACTTGCTGTTCCAGGTTGGCATTTGTCCGCAGATTCAATAGCAAACTCTTGTTTGATGTTCACAGCAAAGCCCTCCTCCTGCCCATCCCACCCCCTGCACACTGTCATGGGGAGGGGCTATTTTCTTGCCCCTTTGGTCTTGCTCCAGGGTTGTTCTCAGAAGAAGTGGCATCTCTTTGGCTTTCTGCAGAAGGGAGGATTGAAAAGAAAGCATGGTTACACTCTGCTGAGGACACAGGAGAACAGCAATTGCTATAGCTGATTTCATTTGGGTTGCCACATGAGGACCTATCGCTACCCTGTGTGGCCAGATATGTGGCTTAAGAGTATTGGGTTCTCCCTTCACGTTCCTGGAGTACAAACGCTTCTCAAAGTGCCTGGTGGTGCTGGGAGGGAGCCTCAGGGCAGGGATGTTCTCTCCTTGTCTAACCTGTAACAGCAACTTGCAAGTGCTCCAGGAATGTCTGCCCGACAGCCTGGCAGCTACCTGAGTTGCTCTCTGCTAGAAGAGCTCTAATTTGTGCTTATTATGGGCAGGTGGATGGACACCTGCTAGTATGGGCATGTTGAAAGAGGTATAGTTGGGCTAATGTGTTTTAAAGTGTTTTTATAGTTACAGACTGCAGGTTGGAGGAGTAAAAGAGCAAGGGCAAAAACTGAGTTTACCCTCTGCAGTGGTGCTGTATGTTTTGTTGCTTCTTA